CTTCATGGTCAATATGTGAAGAGAATTAAGAGGCCAGGGATTAATGAATGCCAAACGTTTGCGTGGCTCACGAGAGGGAAGGTAAAAGGTGAAACAGAGGCCCTGATAACGGCAGCCCAAGACCAGGCCTTACGTACAAGACATTATGAGAAACATATCCTCAAAATAACAGCAAATGATAGATGTCGAATGTGTAAACAATACTCAGAAACAATAGATCATCTTGTATCCGGCTGTCCTCAATTGGCGAAGCACGAGTACTTGGTCCGGCATAATAAAATATGCATATACTTGCATCATGCCATCTCTATAAGCTTTGGGATCGCAGTGGAAGAAAATGGTATAATCACAACCCCACTCCAGTAGTTAGTAAAGATGAGATTACCATAATATATGACTTACCAGTGCAAACAGATCGTGAGATATCCGCGAACCGCCCAGACATAATCGTCAAAAACCAACGTGACAAAACCTGCCTGTTAATAGATGTTTCAGTCCCCAACGATGAAATCGTTGTGAACAAAGAAGCTGAAAAGAAATTGAAATACAAAGATCTCTCAATTGAAATCCAAAGAATGTGGAATCTGAGGACGAAGATAGTTTCCGTAATTTTAGGTGCATTAGGGACGATCCCAGACAATATATATGAAAACCTAAATCTCATACCAGGAAGGCACAGGGCAGCAGACGTGCAGGAGATTGCTTTGTATGGTACAGCAACCATATTACGTAAGACAATATAAGGTAATGGACTTCGTTAGGATGTGGGTAACATCTTCGAAGTACCATAATGAAAATGACCAACCAAAACCGGCCCACATGGACAGAACCAGTTGAATAGATAGTGCTGTGGAAAATAAACAAATAATAATAATAATAATAATAATAATCCCCGCAGGGGGTATCTACTTTTCAAGGGAAGATACATGGGGAGCGTCGCCCCCACGGCCCCAGGCAGGGAGTTCGGGGTTTGGTAGTCTTACTAATTCTGCCAAACCCTGGACTTTTCCTTCCCCCTTTCTCCCATCCTTTCTCCTTTTATTATATCCTGTACAGCTGTCCGCCGCCCCCCCCCCCAGGCTTTCCTTCTCCTATCCTTACCCCATGCGTTGAGGCGGCGTGTGGAGCTTCCTCTCAGCCTCCCGGGTGTTTTGCCGTGCCCGGCGACCCGTAAGCTGGCCAATGGAATCCTGGTGGTTGAGCCCTACCAGTCAGGGGGGCAACACGCCACTTTGGTCCGGCGGTCAGTCTAGAAGGGCGGCCGCGCCTAGCCCAGCGTTGGTCAATCGGCTGTGCCATCCCGTCAGACGGCTGGCCGGGTGAGCCTCCACAGGTAGTAGAAGCCAAACGGGGATAGTTTGCCATCCTCGATGTATGGTGGAGCTATCTTTGTTTCGACATTCACGGTATCCCTGCGGTTGTCTTCTAGCGGAAGGCGACAATGAGCACAATCTCCCGTTGAGGCTCTATGGAGGGTGGGGAGCCGAGGAAGTGAAGATCAGCATTTCGCATGGCAAACAAAACAAAAACCAAGAGTGTGCCTGCCCCCCTAAATGTAGGCAACGATGGCGAAGGTGGAGCTACATGTAGAGCTTCCACTGGACCGAACAATAATGTCAAGGAGACGGATGGGCCCGTCCCCCGGTTCCTTGTCATCAAGAGAATTGATAATGATAATTTTGCAACAGTTAGTCCATTCCTTATTTCTACGACCATAAATGGTATAATAGGAGACCCTAACTCTGTTAAGAAGATTAAAGCTGGCATATTGGTGGAAACAAAAACAGATGCCCAGTCTCACAGACTCACAGGAATACAGCATTTTACAGATATTCCTGTCACAGTAGAAGCCCACCCAACGCTAAATTCTAGCAAAGGGGTCGTGTACTGCAAAGACCTCTTAAATTGCCCTGAAAGTGAAATTCTCGAGGAACTGAAATCAGAAGGAGTAATACATGTACAGAGAATTAGAGTCAAGAGGGACAATGAACTGCGTGATACTCCAAATCACATAATCACATTCAACTCCCCCAGATTACCATCGAAACTTAAATGCGCTATGTATAAACTTGATGTTCGGCAGTATATTCCCCCACCAGTATGCTGCTTTAGATGCCAACGGTACGGCCATACGTCAATGTCTTGCTAAAACGAACAGGTATGCATATGTGGAAAGGAGTTACACATGGGAAGACCATGTGATCGCCCGGTACAGTGTCTAAATTGTCGCGGGCCTCACGTGGCTTGATCGAAGGAATGCCCAAGATACAAAACAGAATTGGCTGTTCAGAAACTGATCGCTACTGACAAAATAAGTTATATTGAGGCCAAGAAAAAGGTAGTGGTGCATACTCCACAACCAAACGTGTCGTATGCACAAGCCACGCAAAAGCGCCAGGATGATGATATTATCGAAAAGATCATCCCACGTCTGACTAATATCATCCAATCTTCGATTTCTCAAGCACTGAAAGGCAAAGACTTCCATGAAATTGAGCAACCTCAATTCATTACACCTCAGCCAAAAGTATTACATAGCTTGTCTCTTAGAAATCACAGCCAGTCAGATGCCTCTAATCAATCAAAAAGAAAGGCATCCTCACCTGTTGATGGGTCAGATCTCTCTGATGCAAGTCTAACGTCATCTCAGACCGACGATCCAGATTCGAGAAAAGGCAAGCGCGGCTGGCCGAAGGGTAGACCCCGAAGGAGGGCTGCTCCAGCTCAAACCAAGCCAGATCATATCAATGCAAGAACTAATACTGTGTCTTGTAGTCAACCTGATGCTTCAAACCCACAATCTGGAGACAACCAGATTGGAAGCGAACCTAACTGTGATGAACCTGTGATAATAGATAGTTAAATTTTAATATTTAATTCTATGTTTATTTATTCACGTTAATTTGATATTTGTTTACTTGTCCATTTATTCATATATTTATTTAATATTTACTTTTACATTATTTTCTAACTTTACATCCCGTATTTGGGTTAGTTTCTCCATATTTCAATTGTAGGAGTTAAACTTTTTAGTACAATATGCAAAACATAATGCAATGGAATTGCAATGGTTGTGTGTCTCATCGGAATGAACTTCGTGTGATGGTTAGGGAGAACGAACCTTTCTGTATTGCATTACAGGAAACCCACTTCCGTCCAGAGACATCTTTCTGTCTTAGAAACTACAATATTTACCGCAAAGATGTCATACCAGACCGCAGAGCGCGAGGTGGTGTGGCCTTACTCGTAAAGCAGAATATTATAGCGCAGGAACAGAGACTGGATACGGAACTTCAAGCTGTCGCAATTCGCATCACAACGCCATTTGCTGCTACATTGTGTAGCTTATACTTACCAGATGGCGATTGGTATATTGATCAGTTGTACAGGCTTCTATCAGCGCTGCCAAGACCAATTTTTTGATGGGCGATTTTAATGCGCACTCACCTTTTTAGGGATCTATGCGCAGAGATATCCGGGGACGCACTATAGAGGAATACATTGACTCATCGAACTTAGTTCTATTGAACTCAGGGTCTCCTACACACTTCGATATCAGAACAGCTGGATCCTCTGCTATAGATCTCTCACTATGCTCACCACAACTGGCTACTAGATTATCCTGGAAGGTCTTGGATGATCTCAATTTTAGTGATCACTTTCCAATCATCATAACAACGGATGTCCCCAAACTTTTCTATCCGTCACATAAAAGATGGTTGACTGCGAAAGCTGATTGGAACACATTTTCTGAGCACCTTCGTATCCCTCCTCTAACTGAAGACATTAATACAGCAGTGGACGATATCACACACGCTATAACAGATGCAGCAAAGATTAGCATTCCCATGACATCCGGGACCTCATCTAATAAAGCTGTGCCGTGGTGGAATGAAAACATTCGGAATGCAATCAACGAGAAGAAAACCGCTCCGAATAGATTCAAGCGCAACCCAACCATGGCCAACATGATCTCTTTCAAAAAACTACGTGCTAAAGCACGAAGACTCATAAATGAGAGCCAAAAGAAATCATGGGAAACTTATGCCTCGTCCATAACTTCTGAAACACCTATCAAACAGATGTGGCAAATGATCAATGTTATTGCAGGCATGAATCCGTTTAGACCCCCAAGCGCTTTGAAGGTAGCTAATTCGGTAATCGAGGATGTTTCTTGCATATGCGACACGTTTGCAGACCAGTTTGAACACGCTAGCAGCAATGCAAATTATGATCCCAACTTTCAGCAGCTCAAACTAAATTTCGAAGCACAGGGAATCAATTTTGATACATCAGAACTACATCTATACAATGCACCATTCTCATATGAAGAACTCGAGTATGCCTTAGCGAACTGTAAAGACTCTGCACCGGGTATAGATATGATACTTTACTGCATGATTCGAAATCTTCCAAGGTCTGTCAAAACTCAGTTACTACAGATATTCAATAATTCGTGGGTGGGAGGTATATACCCTGATGCCTGGAAGGTTGCCATTATAGTACCCATTCTTAAAGACGGTAGAGACCCTACTTCACCTAACAGCTATCGACCTGTGTCGCTAACCTGCTGCCTGGGAAAACTCTTTGAAAGAATGATAAGTCTTAGACTAGTATGGTACCTAGAACATAACCAGCTGATCTCAAACAATCAGGTCACGGTAGATGCACTCGTAAATCTTGAAAATGCAGTCCAGGATGTATTCATTAAAAGGCAACACCTAACGGCAGTCATGTTTGACCTGGAAAAAGCGTTCGACATGACCTGGCGCTTCGGTATTCTGAAACAGCTCCACGAATGGGGACTTCGTGGCAATCTCCCAAAACTTATCCAAAATTTCTTGTCTCATCGCTCATTCCGAGTTCAGGTCGGAGACTCCAGGTCCTCGACAAGGAGGTTGGAAAATGGCGTTCCACAAGGATCCGTTCTAAGTGTTTCACTATTCATCGTAGCCATTAACTTCCTGGTTGATAGCACTCCTCCGAACATTCAACCCGTCTTATATGTAGACGATCTCTGCATATTCTCCACCGCCGCACTTGATAGAAACTTTGGCAATCTGCAGAATGAAATAAACAGACTAGACTCTATAGCCAGGAATAGAGGGTATTCCTTTTCAGCAACAAAATCGACGTGCATCCATTTTTGCAGACTTCGCACAGCACATCCCCAAGTCACTCTCACACTCAGCGGACAAACTATAAAAGCTGAAAACTCTGTTAAGTTCCTGGGCATTATTTTTGACCACAAGCTCTACTGGAAGGATCAAATTGAACATCTCACAACTCGTTGTAGAAAATCTCTCAACCTGATCAAATGCATAGGAAATACCCGATGGGGTTCAGACCGCGAAGCTCTCATCAAGGTTTACAAGAGCCTAATCGAGTCTCGAATTGACTATGCCAGAGTTGTATACAATTCTGCAAGACCATCCAAGATCAAGGCACTTGAAAGGATTCAATTCGCAGCCCTAAGAGAGCTACAGGGGCTTTTCGTACGAGTCCTTCAAATGCCGTTCTCTGTGACGCTGCAGCAATACCCTTACAATTAAGAGGTGAAATGCAATCTGCCATCTATATGACTAAAATAAAATCTCTTACAAGACATATTAATCTGAGTATATTGGAAAGCGATAACGAACATACAAATCGTCCAACGTATACACGTCCAGCCAGAATCCATAGCCTTGAATTCCAACAAGCGAACAACATATCAATAAGGGATGTGCTGCAGAGAGCCCCATACGACACTCCACCTTGGACTAGGTCAAAGCCACATATTGATATTCGCCTTTCTGTATTTCTTAAAAATGAGACAGCACCCCAGGTGTATCTCGCTCATTTCAAACAAATTACAGATCACCTCCACGATTATCTCTTCATATACTCGGATGGATCTAAGAGCAGTACCGGAGTGGGAGCATCAATAGTAGTTAACAGTGTTTGCCACATGTGGAGTCTGGATCCGATTTCAAGTATTTTCACTGCAGAATGTTATGCCATCTGGCAGGCACTTCTATTCTTTGCATTGTCATCTAGCTTAGCGTGTTCGATAGTATCAGACTCTCTGAGTGTGATCAGCTCCCTAGGAAATAACTTCACCAAGGATGAAAGAATAAGTCGAATCTTGAACTTAACCAGCTCACTAGAAAATGTCCACAAAAAAGTCCGTTTCATATGGGTACCTAGTCATGTGAATATTATCGGCAATGAATTGTCTGATGCAGCGGCAAAGCAAGCAGCCAACATGCCACCGGATGAAGGCATTCCTACTCCGTTATCTGATTATATAAAACACTTAAAAGACACCACACAGTCTTATGCCGACTACGAATTGGCCATTGTAAGTTGACCCATGCGTACCTGTTGGCTGGCGATCACAGACCACAATGTCTAGCATGTCAAACAGACCTCACTGTTCAACATATTCTGGTGGAATATCGACTCTACAGTGATCTCCGCAGGGAACTACAGATGTCTTCCAATATACAAACCCTGCTCAGAACGGAATGGCCAAAAGTTATGGATTTCCTTCTGCGCTCGGATACATACACCAAGATATAGATACTCCCATTTCGTTACGCCTCCAGCCACTTCCACATCAACATTTTACGACGCATTCTCACCTACATCCCATACCTATCTGTACTTACCTTATTATCCTTATACCATACTATACAGCTCTGAAAAATAAAATAGGATGCACGTGGATATCACATCATTACAAGCGATCACATACTCGTATGTATGTGTGTATCTATGTACATATGAGTGTATGCTTACGTTGATTAGACTCATGGATTGTCCTTAGGAACGGCAGTTGGGAGGCAGCTTAGCTATTAAAGATTCTCAGTCACATACGGAGTAAATATTGAACTTGTCTGTCTACTATACCTACTGTTATTTATACCGTATATGTTTGTCCTATGTCTTTCTATTTCCATCTCAAAACTACCCCTAAGATGTTAAGTTTGGGAAAAAAATGACCTAATGAGGCAGGAGGGAAGCGGCTAAGGACCTAGAAGTCGATGCCGCTGTGGGTCTAAAAAATAATAATAATAATAATAATAAGGTGCTGGGCCTATATAAGATCAACCCTGCAATACGAACATGTTTAACTACTTGGATGAAACAGTGGAGTTCCACGCTATTTGTGGACAAAGTTAAGCTAGGTAACGTCCAGATCAACAGAGGCATTTACCAAGGTGACAGTCTTAGCTCAATATGGTTCTGTCTTGCACTGAACCCATTATCACAGTTGTTGAATAGGAGCTCAGCGGGTTACAAAGTAAATAAGCGGCACAATGACAGAGTTACCCACTTGATGTATATGGATGATATAAAGCTGTTTGCCCAGTTAGAAAATCATTTGTCATCCCTCATCCATCCAACACAAATATTCAGTGAGGACATCGGCATGCGGTTCGGGTTGGATAAGTGTGGAATATTCAAAATGAATACGGGTAAGAGCGCACCCGCCGCAAGTAGCATATAGTCAACGCCAAACAAAGTGGCGTGCACGTCATCACGATAAAAATTCCCCGACCTAATGCCTAGGTTTCTATCACAAACAATTGCTCTATTACAGTTTCATATTAATGTGATATATAAATTGTAAAATGGTCATTACTCTCTTATTATGGTTAATAGTCATATAAACATTGTTATTAAAATATCACATAAGTTGCTTTCTGATAAATTTAGACGCATTATGCGAAATAAAATGTTTTGCAAACGCTCCAATCACTTATCGACATGTAAACGCACTAAACCGATTTCGCAGCGTTGACACATTGTCACCTTGAAACTTATTTAAACTGGGAACTGACATTTGTATTAATTTTGACACTGAATCAATTTGTGGCATTTCAAATCTTTATAAATCCTTTGGCCCCGCATACTGTAAATCAACAACTGTTTGTTTCAAAACAAAATTATTCATTTTACGAGTAGATAAAGGCAATTTTGGTATATAAAGATGCCCAAACAGTTAAATAGTCGGTGTAAGGAACTCGTGGCCTCGTTAATGCACTACTTTGAGCAAGAAAGGGACAACAACGGGCCTTTGTTGCCTTTAAATGCTGTTCAAGAGGTAGGTTACTAATAATTGTATGTAATGTATATTAATAATAGTGAAATTTTATTTCATTTTTTGTAGCGTGTTGCTGCTGCTTTAAAAATTAGTTTAAGGACAGTTAGTCGTATTTCCGAGGGTGTGAAAAGTGATGCAAATTTAGAATCGCCCAAGAAAAAGCGGAGTTATATTAAACGTGTAACCAACACAGCGACATTGGATACAAGTGCCATTCGAGAAGTGATCTATAATATGTATCACAAAAGTAAGATCTTATTATAATAACTTATCAGAAATTTGCATTAATTTGTTAACTAAATTATAATGTCATATTACACATGGTTTCAGAAGAACAAGTTACGATACAAACTTTATGGTCTCGATTAAGAGATAGGGCATTATTTGATGGTAGTGCCACGTCTTTAAGGCGGTTGCTTAGAGATCTTGGATTTAAGTGGCTTAAGGACAATCCGCGACAAGGGCTCATGGAACTACCAAGTATAGCTTTGAAAAGGGTGGAATTTCTAAGGCAATACAATCAAGCCAAGGTTGAGGCCTTATACCAGTTTGTCTTCCTCGATGAAACTTGGATATTTCAAAATGGGACCATAAGTCGCTCTTGGCAAAATGGAAACCAAAAAAGCGTGAAAGCTATTAAAACAGATGGTAAAAGGTATGTACTTTTACACAATTTGCACTATAAAATTTAAAACTAATATATTTTAGATACATTATATTACATGCTGGAAATGAAAATGGGTTTATTGAGGGTAGTGAAGCGATATTTTCTTCGAAAACAAAATTGAGCGATTACCATGGAGAGATGAACCAGGACAATTTTTTGAAATGGTTTCAACATCAGTTATTAGAAAAATTGGAGAGTCCATCTATGATTATACTGGATAACGCCCCTTATCACAGCATGATATTGAACAAAGTGCCCAACAATGCATGGACAAAAAAAATATCCAAGGCTGGTTGACAAATCAAAACATACCATTTTTAAACACAATGTTTAAAACAGAGCTATTGAGTATTGTTGCTCGGTACATAATGCTTCTTAATTATATATATCTTGGTCGACAGTTTATATTTCTTTTGTTTATTCCTATTCTTAAAATAACTGCTGTTTTAGAAACAAACCACCTAAAATATACGTGATTGATGAATTGGCGGAACAACATGGGCACAAAGTTCTTCGTCTGCCTCCTTACCATTGTATATTTAACCCTATTGAGTTAATTTGGGGCATAGCAAAATGTTACTATAACAGACATATTGGTAGAGATGGTAACAGTGAAAAAGACTGTTTGGATATGTGGAACGAGGCTCTACAAACGGTTACCCCAGACATGTGGAAAAATAGTGTTCGACATACTGAGCAAGACATTTTTAAATGGTATGAAAGAGAACGAATTTTTGATCGACCAGACATCGAACCTTTAATAATCAACTTTGAGAGTGATGAAGATTCAGATTCAGACAGCGCTGAAGAAAGAAACTCCGACTAACTTTATTGTACAGAAAAAGCTTACACCAGTAGCTTACCTAATTTTAGAATGCATTTTTCTGTATGAATTCTGTAAAATAAATACCATGCATAAAATTTGGAGGACCCCATTTGGATTTTTATTCAGTACCTTTAAGCTATCAATTAAATATGGTAGTTTCATAGTGTCATCTGATCAATAATTGTCATACTTAATGATTATGCAAGTACAGATCTATAATTTTATTATACTATTATTTTTGTTCTCATTTGAGGTTAATATTGCTTATAAACCTAGATATGTAAATAATAAATTTTATTATTTTACAAAAAGTTTGGCAACAATGTAAATTTTTCAACACACCCACCTTGATGACGTGCACGCCACTTTGTTTGGCGTTGACTATATGTAATATAGATATGTTATCCCCAGAAGACTATTATAAGTATCTAGGTTTTCAACAAAACCCAGGATTGGATCACATCAACTTAAAAGCAATCGTAAAACAAAAATACATCACCAGGATAACAAAACTCCTCAACACCAAACTTAATTTAAGAAATCTTATAATGGCAATAAATGCTTGGGCTGTGCCAGTGCTGTCATTTAGCTTTGGCGTTATTAAATGGAGCAATACAAACCTAGCAGAAATCGATCGCGAAACTAGAAAATTGCTCTCCAAATTTCGTATGCTACATCCAAAATCTACCACGGAAAGAGTATACATACCTAGAGCCCTTGGGGGAAGAGGACTGATTAATGTTGAGCGTCTTTGCAAAGATCAAGTGTCCAAGTATTTTTGCAACATCAATTTCCAAAACATTAGGAGCATTACAGCTACGGACAGCAACGTCACCCCCATGAATTTGGGCAGAAATCATGAACCCTCAGATCGATCAATACCGACGTCGACTGACCTGCTCAACGGATGGAAAGAGAAAGCCCTTCACGGGAGATATCCTGTAACACTTGAAAAAGATGGAATTGATAAAAAGTCCTCACTATCAATGTTTGTGAAAGGCTACCTACATCCGGAATCGGAGGGTTTTCTATGTGCTATTCAGGATAAGGTTATTCGAACTAGAAACTATGAACGCCATATACTAGGCCTGAATACACACGACGTATGTAGAAAATGATATACGCCAGGTGAACAAAATAACACATCACCTCCAGCTGCAACATGTTGGCCAATAGTGCTTACTTATCCCGGCATAATCAAGTAGCCAAAATCATACACTCCACGTTAGCTCAAAATTATAATCTCATTCAGTCAACCGCGCCATATTATGAATATACACCATTCCCAGTACTCGAGAATCAGTCGGCCCTATTGTACTGGGACAGGCCAGTCATAACCGATAAAACAGTTGACTGTAACCGGCCAGACATACTACTGATCGATAAAAATAAACGGAAAGCATACATAATTGATATCGCAGTTCCACTCACAGTAAACATAATCAGAACCTAATACACCAAGGCTGAAAAGTACCAAAACCTTACCATTGAAGTCAAAAACATTTGGAAACTATCAGAGGTCTGCATAATACCAGTAGCAGTGTCTATGGAAGGGGCAGTCTCTGTAAGTCTCCACTCTCACTTAGAGAAAATCAAAGTTCCAGCGCATTTTATTGCATTGATGCAGAAAGCCGCAATCTTGCAAACATGTCACATAGTTCGCAAGTTCTTCGCAATAGGCTGAGGTGAATTCCTCCCCTGTTGTGAACATACCCCGTGTGTAACGGTGAAAGACCAACCAAAAACGTATAATAATAATAATAATAACGACGTAGACGGTACAGCCAGCAGCGCAACGTCTGGCCTTAACCCAACAGTTAAGCTACTGAGATTAACACCGAAGGATAGTCAGTACGACCAGCACACCTTCCATTTATCCAGGCGTGGTTTTTGTCTCTTTTCCGCGCCTGAGTTTTAACATTTTTAGGTAAACAATTACACCTACTTATAAAAAGAGAACAAAATTACCCAGAAATGGAGAAGGAACAAAATGAAGCCTCGGAATGTAACGACGTAATCGGGACTCGTCGCTATGCGACGAGGACCGCGTCCGGCAGGGAGCGTAGGGGAAGGTCGCACCCGGTCGTCATCCAGCGAAATCCCCCCAACATCACCACATATACTCCACTGAATGACCTAACACAACACCACCAAGCGGTCAATGCTGGTAATAATGTTGCTGTCGACGCATCGCCCTAGCCCATGTTACCAGCCCATAGTAGACGGCAGAGAACCATTTGGATGACAGAAATGAATGAGTACGTGGTTCGCTGCTACTATAGAATTACCAAATTGCAAACTTCACAGGAACCTTATGGTGCTGAATTGCATAAATTAGTGACAGAAAAATTTCCCCAGTTAAGACAAAATACACTGCAGAACATCTTAAACCAGCGCAGATCTATATTTGTGAACAGCAGATTGCCAGCGGAGAGAATAGATATAATTAGGCATGAAGTAGCAACCGAATTGGGCATGGTAAATGATGCACAGCAGAGTCAAGAGCAAGCAAATGACGCTCAGACTGAAACGCCAAGCTATTCGCCATCAGTGCTGGAGGAGGAATTTAGAGGCATTATAATGAGCTATGACGGTATAGATCCGACAAAAAAGCCTCGGCTACCCAAACTATTTTGCTACCCAACGTAAGCTAAAAACCTACGTGAAATGGACAGAATTAACGCTGTTGAGATTAGCGACCAAACAGATTTTAACACATTGACTGCGAACTGGGATGAGGATACCCACCTCAGAAACTGAAATACTTTTTTGGAAGGCGGCAGAGAGCGTCGAAAGACGCCGTTCGCCTCCCACCACAGGAGCGGAGGGCGTCTTTTGACGCTGTTCGCACTGAACGTGTTAAGGACCTACACGCCATGATCTATGCTAGGGCGTTCGCGGTTCTAAAGCTAAACGGTCAGAGACCTACAGATGTTACAAGTCGGAACGGAACTAAAAGGCAGCCAGCTTGGGAAAGGAGGCTAAGCAAGAACATAGATAATATCAGGAGCGATATAGCTATCCTAACGCAGTACAGAGATAAGGGCATTACCCCACTGAACCTAGCCAACCTAGCTCTCAATCCATCCTCGATGGTGTAATCGCCCCCCGAACTGATCGAGAAGTGGAAATCCAAGCCACTACATGGACGCTATAGAACGCGAATTGAAGACCAGGCAGTAGACACCAAAGCATCCCAAGAGTGGGTGCGTTCCAGTAATCTGTTCGTGGAGACAGAGGGGTTTGTGATGGCTATTCAAGACCAAGTGCTGCCTACGAAAGTCTACAGAAAGCGAATAATGGGAGAAAATATAGACAATACCAAATGTAGAATCTGTGGAGATAAAGACGAGAACCTAGACCACATTATCGCAAGCTGTTCCACACTCGCCCCAAAACAGTATCTAGAAAGACATCACGACGTGGCAAAAATAATCTACTTGGAACTGGTCAAGCGCTATCTCAATGAAGGACCTACTGAGCCATACTATCGCTACATGCTCCTCCCAGTTAAAGAGACTGGGTCAAACAAAATGTATTGGAACAGGAAAATAATCACAGACCGCACAATACCAAATAACATCCCTGACATAGTGCTAACGTTAAAAGAGCAAAAGATAACATACATTATAGATATAGCGGTTCCGCTCCCTGTCAACCTATAAAGTACCTACTCAGAAAAAGTTAACAAGTATCTACCACTGTCAGAAGAAATAAAGCGGATGTGGGGAATGAATACAGTTATGATTGTACCGATAGTTATTGGCGCCACAGGTGAGGTCCTCAAGAAGTTACACACAAGTCTTGAAAAGCTAGACCTTGACCAACATGTTTACAAAAAAATTCAGAAAGCTGCTTTACTGGGGACATGCAGAACAGTCAGTAGGGTCCTGGCAGGCGAAAACTCGACATTGTAACCTGCAAAATTGGTAGTTGCCTTCAAAATGCTTACGTCCTCTGATGCAAACCTGGATTAAGCATATCAAACCCTCTCAGAGGAGATGATTGAATGAACAAATAATAATAATAATAATAATAATAATAATAATAATAATAATAATAATACCCCGCAGGGGGTATCTACTTTTGAAGCTGGATCTTTGATCCGGTTTCAAGGGAAGATACATGGGGAGCGTCGCCCCCACGGCCCCAGGCAGAGAGTTCGGGGTTTGGTAGTCTTATTTATTCTGCCAAACCCTGGGCTTTACCTTTCCTCTTTCTCTCTATCCCCCATCCTTTTTCCTTTTATCATGTCCCGTACCGGAGGTTCTATGCGCTCACATTCGCCTCCAATCCCCAATGGGTGTAAGTGCAAGGCCGGTATGTCAGGTAAACGCAACGGTAATATACCCCAGGCGGGTAGAGCGATAAGCTCAGAATCCCGCCCATCTTCTTCGGAAGGCAGCAATCGCCCCTCGGATTCTGGGGAGGGCACCTTGGCATCAGTAGCTGTAGGAGGTAGAATAACCACGGAGACGGCTGGGCCGATCCCCCGGTTCCTGGTTATTAAGAAGGTAGATGGAGAAGATTTTACTCACGTCAGTCCTTTTTTAGTTGCTAAGAGTCTCTATAGCATCGTTGGGAAAAATTCAAAAACAGTAAAAATTAAGGGAGGTATTTTAGTAGAAACTGTTAGAGACGATCAATCTAGAAGACTTTTGCAAATTACTAGATTTGCTTGATTTCCTGTAGTAGTTGAGCCACATCCATCGTTGAATATCACTAAAGGTGTTGTTTACTGCAAAGATCTACTCAATTGTTCGGAAGGGGAAATTCTGGCAGAATTGAGAGATCTAGGGGTTATTCATGTTCAAAGAATTAAGACGAGAAGAAACAACGTATTAGAAGACACAGCCAATCACATTCTCACTTTTAATCTTCCTAGGCTCCCTGACAAAATTCAAGTAGCTATGTATAACTTACAAGTGCGACCATATATCCCCACACCAGTAAGATGTTTTAGATGTCAACGCTTCGGACACGCTGCTGCAGCGTGCTCAAGTGGACAGTTATGTGTATGTGGCAAATCAATGCATGTAGGTAATCCTTATGAACTCCCCATAACTTGTATAAACTGCGAAGGATCACACTCTGCCAAATCTAAGTTATGCCCCAAATAGCAAACTGAACTGGCTATTCAGAGGTGTAAAACACTGGAAAGAATAAGCTACATGGAGGCAAAAAAGAAGGTAATTGCTCAAACTCCTAGGCCAAATGTTTCTTACTCTCAGGCGACACAAATGTCTAGTCAAACAGAACACGATTTTATTAGGAAAATATCTCCAATTCTCGAAAACATTGTTAAAAAATATATATCTGAGATACTTAAGAATACTCCCCCAACACAGCAGATTACACTTCCAGGAACATTAAATCTACCAGCACCACTGCCGAAAAAATTTGTAGGAGTGGTCACTCGCTCAAGAACTGGATCGGACGCGTCAAATATATCAAAAACGAAGGCTTCCTCACCAGCAGAAGGCACTGACTTCTCAGACGACAGTCAAGCTTCTTCTCAAACAGAAGGTCGTAGAAAAAGAGGCCGGCCAAGAAAAGCTGTAAAAGACCAGCGCAGTCTTAGCTCTGCACTTCCGACCCAGCAGAATATCGACGAGACTCAGACGACTACTTCACAGTCTCAGGACATAATTCGTCCTAGCTCTGTAGATCCGCCAGATCCCGTAGCTATCCCATTGCAAGAATCCGTCGATCTAACTTAGCTAAGCAACCGTATTTGAAATGTGATATAAATAACTTTTAAAAAAAAACTTACATAGTATTTTTTTTATTTTATTATTTATTTATATTTATTTTCTGTTCTTCTTTACTTTGCAATGTCTGTGTCTTATCTGTACGTACATGAGCATTTTTGAACTCTTAAACATTTCCATAATGGAAAACATAATACAATGGAACATTAATGGTATTAAATCGCATTATCCTGAATTGAAAGCACTTTTGCTTGATAAGACACCATTGTGTGTATGTATCCAAGAGACACATCTCAAGCCCAATGAAAACTTCAAATTAAGTGGCTTCAACTGCGCTAGAAAAGATGTCACGCCCAATCTCAGGGCTAGAGGAGGTGTCGCCATATATCTGAAGGATGACCTTCATTACACAGAGATCCTCCTCATAACACCTTTGCAAGCAGTAGCGTTACAATTGCTACATCCCGAAAAGGCCACTATATGCAACATTTACTTACCTGATGCAAACTGGAACAAACAGGAAATTAAACACCTTATTAATCAGCTCCCACAACCATTCATCCTTCTGGGCGATTTCAATTCCCATAACCCACTATGGGGCTCTGCTAGATTAGATGCACGCGGAGGAATTACAGAGGAAACCATTGATGAATATAATCTGGTTCTACTGAACACTGGGTCAGGTACTTACTTGAATCTAAGATCAGAGACAGTCAGTGCCATTGACTTATCTTTGTGTAGTTCTAGACTAGCACATTTCCTTCAGTGGTGTGTGCTAGATGTTTCTACAACCGACCACCTACCAATTTCTATAGAAATTGCATCCAGAAGACCGTCTCCATATAGAATAGAGAAATGGTCCCTGAAAAAGGCAAATTGGATAAAATATCAACAAGTATTCGAACCTATCGAAATCAAAGACTCAATAGGCTCGTCAGTAAAAGAAGCCACAGAACGTATACGTGCTGCCGCTGCACGTAGTATACATAAAAACACTGGACATTTCAAAATAGCAGTACCTTGGTGGAATGAGGAGATCGCCGAAGCGATAAGGAAAAAGAAACAATCCTTTAACTTCGTCAATGATAAGTTTTAAAAAAGATAGATCAAAGGCTCGGCAACATCTAGTGTCTGGAAAGAAATCCTCCTGGGAAAACTATATTAAAACAATTACCAGTGATACTACGGCATCGGAGGTGTGGAAGAAAATACGGAGCATATCTGGGAAAAAACATTCAAACGTATGTCGAACTTTGATTGTGAATGGTCTAACAGTATCTGACCCTGAAGGAAAAGCTGAAGCATTCGCATCCCGATTTGAACTCTCAAGTTCATCGGCAAACTACAGTCAACATTTCAAGCAGCTTAAAAATGAGGTGGAAACAACAGGCGTCCATTTCGAGGAAGGGTCTGACCTGACTTACAATTTGCCATTTTCCATAACACAACTAGAGCAAGCATTAAGTGAATGTAGTGACTCAGCACCAGGACAAGACCAAATTCACTATAAGATACTTCGTAATCTACCCGAAACAGAAAAACAGACCCTTTTATACATCTACAATCAAATATGGCGAGAAGCAGAATATCCCACAGAATGGCGTAATTCCATCAACATTCCTATACTAAAAGAGGGGAAAGACCTACTAAATACTTCGAGTTACAGACCTATCTCCCTCACTTGCTGTCCAAGCAAGGTTCTTGAGCGGATGGTTAACAAGCGGCTGGTATGGCTACTCGAATAACTTGTTATCAAGCTACCAAATGGGCTATCGCAAAAACAGGTCGACTATCAATCAGCTTGTAATGCTCGAGTCCGCTGTACAAAGTTGTTTTGCTTCTAGAAAACATATGGTAGCTATTTCTCTAGACTTCGAGAAAGCCTATGACACCACTTGGAGAATTGGTATACTGGAACAGCTTAAGCAATGGGGAATCTGTGGAAACCTACCACGGTTTATTTCAAGTTTTCTCGAAATGAGAACGTTCCAGGTCAGGGTAGAAAATAAACTATCCGAGCTCCACATTCTAGAAAATGGAATTCCTCAAGGGTTGACACTCAGTGTAACTCTGTTCATAATCGCAGTTTTTTTTTATACTCCAACTACCACGAAGGCCTAAGGCCTAAGCACCCATTGGGTACCGTGGGGCTATAGGGGGATACATGGGAAAGGGGGGACGCCACACGGACTCTGGCGAGGGAACGGCGACTGATCAGGAGACCGAAGAGTCTACTACTGCGGCCACCGCTGCTGCCTAAAACAAACACACAACATCCATGGCGAAGGCGATATTCGAACTCACGGCACGGCCGGCCGGCTGATCAGTAGCACGACACTCTGACCCACGCGGCCAACCGAGGTCCCAAAAAGTTAATAGCTTATTAGAAACTCTTGGTAATAATGTTGGTAAATCAATGTATGTAGATGATCTCGTGGTCTACCATGCCGCCAAAACTGTGGAGGAGATAGAGAGTACCTTGCAACCAACTCTTGATAGGTTGATGCAAGCTGCTGAAAATAAGGGTTTCAAATTTTCACCCACAAAATCTTGTTGCGTTCACTTTTGCAGGCTCCGAACCCCTCACAACCAGCCCAATACCACCATTAAAGGAGCAAGTATTCCTGTTAGAGATAATCTGAAAATTCTTGGATTAACCTTTGATTCGAAACTCTACTGGAAAGCCCATATGGATAATCTTGTTTTGGATTGCAAGAAATCTCTCAACATTATTAGATGCCTATCAAACATATCTTGGGGCGCAAATAAGGAAGTTCTAATTCGGATATACAAAGCCCTAGTAAAGTCTAGGATGGACTATGGAATGATCATATATTCAGCAGCCAGAAAATCGCACCTGCTTCGCCTCGAAAGAGTTCATCGAGAAGGCTATGTATTGGAGCATTTAGAACAAGCCCATCTCTATCTCCAAATTATGAAGCTGGCGTCCCTCCTCTAGAAAACCGCATACAACAGTTGACGATGAACTATGCTATTAAGCTGTGGGCTCAGCCATCTCACCCAAACCACCGTATAGTCTTTAACGATGAAGCGAATGAGACATTTATGGCCAGACCTACAATGACAAGGCCCACTGGCGTGCGAATACATGAGTACCTAGAAAATCTTGAAGTAGAAATGCCTCCGCTATACCCAATACATAACTACGATACCCCTCCTTGGACTCTGAAGACACCCTTAACACTACTAGATTGTGCAAGATATTCTAAAGCTGTCACAAACCCTACAATTTATACGCAGAGCACTATTAAAGATCAGGTTAGACCAAAATTGGTCATCTACACAGATGGTTCAAAAACCGAAACGGCAGTAGGAGCTGCCTTTATAATACCTGGCGAATCATTTCGATTCTCGCTTGATTCGAGATGCTCAATATACACAGCGGAACTATTTGCCATTTAAAAGACAATGGGGTTCCTCGTGAGTGCTGAGCCTGATACGTATATTATTTGTAGTGACTCGCAAAGTGCTGTAAGTGCTATCAGAGATATTTTTAGAAGAGATCCGGTGGTTCAAAAAATTCTTGATCTTTATTCCCAACTGGAAAGGCAAGGCAAAACGGTAGTATTAGTGTGGTGTCCAGGCCACATAGGAATTTCAGGCAATGAGAGTGCCGATACGGCTGCTCGAGCTGCCTTGCACAGTGCACCCTCTGAAAGCTCCCCCATAAAATTTGAAGACCTTAAAACATATTTTAAAGGAAAAATAAACCACTTATGGGATCTACGATGGGAGCAAAGTGCAATGCGTTTGCGCCTTTTACAACCCAATGTAGGCAAGTTTGTTTACCCTAATACGTTGTCACGTAGGGAGCAGGTGTGCCTCTCACGAATTAGGATTGGTCATACTCGTCTAACGTCCTTACACTTACTATCAAACGAAATTGTAACTCATGCCAAACGCAATTAACACTAATGCATGTCCTAATTCAATGTCCACAGTTTCATGATGCCCGTACGCGCTGTGAATTACCACTCAACATCAGTGATTGCTTCGTGAATACCGACGCATGTCAAAAATTACTTCAATTCACAAAACTATCAGGACTGTTCAAACAATTTTAATACTTTACATAACAAAAATAGTGGCACAATAATCTACTTACATCTGCCTCCCTCCGAGTATCACACAACTAAAGTATAATCTGATCCAGCAAAAGTAAAATTAATAAACGATAGCGACATATCTGAAAAGAAGAAAGAAAAATAGTATAAAATGTTTATGTATCTACCTGTCTTCGTCCTGTATACCTCCACGTTTGTGCTTTTGTCTTACCAAGGTATTTTGTATGTTTTTTTTCCTGTTTTTGTCTTTTTTTTTCTAATTTTTATCAATGGAAATCTCAGCTACTGAACTCGCACCGTAAATCACCCAGATCTACCCTTGTGGTGAAAGTAGCAAGTGACCATATGGGAAGGAGGAAAGCGGCTAATGACCTTCGCTGTCGATGCCGCTGTGGGCTTAAAAAAAATAATAATAATAATGAATGTCTTTATTAGCAACACAATAGGACGAAGTTTAGCTAGTTGACTACTCTTACACCCAACCCTATTGTGCGATTAAATATATGTATACAATTCAAAAGTCACATACATGCAACCTAAAAATAAATATACTAAGTGACATATAAATCCGAACACCCAGTTTAAATGGTTTTGTTTTAATAAAATTTTGTATAAGTACTTAATGAGGCATAATAAGTAAATGATAAAAATTTCAAAATGATTGCACTGCTTTAAAGCCCTTTGACCTTTAATAATGTGTGGATGCACCCTGATGTGCTACGCATTCTCCAATGCGCCTAGGCATGCTTCTGATCAGATGGTCAATGTCCTCCTGTGGTATCTCATTCCAGGCAACCACCAACTCCTCTCGAAGTGCTTCTAGAGTCTGAGGAGGACGTTGTAAATTGAGCAATCTCCTACCCATCATATCCCGATGCTCAATTGGGGATAAGTCGGGAGATCTTGGTGGCCATGGTAACAATGTGACATCATTATGTTGAAAGAAGTCTATTGTGACTCTTGCAGCATGTGGTCGGGCATTATTTTGTTGGAAAGTTGGATCTGCCAGGGTGTCAAGATAGGGTAAAAGATGGAGTTCTAGAACTTCGTGGATATAACGCTGCGCGTTCATATTACCTCTGATGAAGATTAAAAGACCATAACTCCAACAGTGTGATGAACATGTCTTTCAACAAAAAACTGTGGATTCCTCCTTTCACCACGTCGCCTTCTAACCCTGGCACGACCATCGTGCATGCCTAAACAAGATCTAGACTCGTCACTAAAGACAATACTGTTCCATTCCTGATCCCAGAGTGACCGTTGTCTGCACCACTCAAGGCGATTACGTCGGTGTTCTCGAGTTAAAGGGAGGGCCCAGTGTGGCCGGTATGAAAACAAGCCAAAACTTCTCATTCGTTGGTAAACACTTCGCATGCCAATAGGTCTTCCGTGTTCTGCAAACCATTCATTTGCAATGGACCTGGTAGTGGAGAAACGGTCCCTTAAGGCCAATAATCTTAGGCGGCGATCTTCACGGTCTGTTGTTCTACGGCGGCGTCCAGTGCCCCTTGCTCTTTGCGTACGGCCTTCTCGAAGCCATGCCTGACAACACCTAACCACAGTGCCTACACTTCTTTGCACTCTAACTGCAATTGCCCGAAAAGAAAGTCCAGCTTCCCGAAGTCCCACTATACGGCCCCTATCAAACTCACTAAGTTGACGAAATCGTACAGGTCTCCGTACTCTAGGCATCGTAACCGATCGTAAAGGATGTCAAGAACCAAAATCCGCCAACGTTGATTCTTTACTGCGGCTGAAATATTCATTTTTAGAGCGTTAGTGAATTAAAAAAAAGCAGTATAAAAACCGGAATGTCCAACTGATAAGGCTGAAAATTTTTTCACTTGTTATTTACAGTAAGATAAATACATTCACCAACTTTTATTAAAATAAAACCATTTAAACTGGGTGTTCGGATTTATATGTCACTTAGTATACATCGATCTGGCTCTCAACTAAGTGAGCTAATAATAAAGGGAAAACATAGAATCAATTGATAAATATATTGGTTTACCAAAAAGGAAACAGTCAAGAACCAACACTGAACGGATGACAACACAAAGAAAACATAAGGATAATAACAACTAATTATGATATAACTAACAGCTGATTTTTAACCAGCTTCCTGAATGTCACTACACTGTTGCTTCTCCAGGCAGGGTCGGTTGAGATGTATAACCTCACAGCATTGAAAGTGAAACATTTTTGAAACAATGCTGTGTAGTGCAACGGCATTGGAACAGATTATTACTATGGCTCAGATCTCTATGATTAATGATTCCTCTAGTTACCAATTTACTATGAAGGTAGATGGGCTTTTTAGTACACAATATCTTATGCACAAATACCTTAAGACTATATTTAAATTGTTGATCAGTTTTCAGCCATTTCAACTCCTTGATCTTAGAGGAGACATGACTATATTTTTGAAGACCATATACAAACCTACAGCAGTTGTTTTGCATTCTTTGGATCCTACATCGCTTCATCGAGTCAAGACAATGATAGTATAAGGTTAAAGCGTAGTTGAGGCTGGACATTATCAAACTTTCAACTAGCTTCTTGCGCGTTGTCAAGTTCAAAATGAATCTATTAGCATATAGCAGTCTTAATTTGGTGTAGGTGGACTTTGATAGATGACACACATGTTTTTTAAATCTTAAACTAGAGTCGAAGATTACACCAAGATTTTTTGCTTGTTCCACAATAGGAATGAGCTCGTTGTTGATGCTCAATGAAATTCTGTCCTTACTCTATTATGCAAATGTTTAGGATAAAAAAGTATCCGGATTAATCTTCAAAATGAGTCTTTTACAAAAATCAGTAATGTTGGCAAGATAACAATTTATCGTATATGATACTTCATTCAGATGGGACAAGTCAAAATGAAAAGAAAGCTGCGTATCATCCGCGTCAGTTTGTATATCACAATGCTCAATACATGAATGTAAATCAAAAGTATATATCAAATACAGTAAAGGACCTAATACAGAGCCCTGGGGGACACCTGAAGGAACTGCAACAGAAGATGAGACACCTCTAACTGTCTTCACCTTTTGTTTACGACTAGTTAAGTAATTTTTAAAAAAATTAAGAGGAATGTCAGATAGTCCAATATACTTTAACTTACTCAACAACATTTTATGGATAACAGTGTCGAACGCCTTAGAGAAGTCGACCATAACTAAAACTGTATTAATATGTTTATCCATATTATTTAAGATATTTTCTGTGAAATGGAGAAGTGAAGAACTATCGCATTTTTTTATAAATCTCCGAACATCTGTCGAAGGGAATTAACCTATTTTGATGTTTTAGATTTTTTTAAAAGAACATTAGTTTTCAAATTATAACAAGAAACATAAAGGAATGCGCGACAATAGTATTTTTTTACACATCGTCTGCCCAATAACTCAGTAGAAATAACCCTTATGTCAGAAAATACCCATGGATGGTGGTTGTTAGACCTAGTTTACATGGGTTATCAAGTTTTCTCAAAGTACTGATGTAATAAAAATCATTTCAGCTTACGAGCATAGGACTTCCCTTGTTTGGGAAGACTTAGTGCTTCCACATAAAATACATTTCCGTTAGCAACTTCAGTAACTACCTGTAACCAAAAAGAATAGATTCAGGATCTTACCTTTAGATATCGCTGCGTTGATCTGTCCAGCACCAAGCAGCTGTAGGAACACTAGAAGCAAGTTGTTGGCCTCCATGCTGCTAACAAAATCCTTGATTCAAAGTACACCACAAGTACCGCACTATCACTATATACAATTAAGTCCCGACCACATTGTACTCGGAAGATTAAAAAGTGGAAGATTGTGGTGAAATGGCAGGAAGCACTCGATCTGAAGCTCGGTGTGACAGTTCAGTTACCTGTAAAGAAGGGTACCATTTAATATGCGACGAAAAGACATAATTAAAGTAGAAAGACTTGGCAATGATGATTTGTTTCGGTTAGGGTAAAATTACTAATAAAAACAATTTTGATGAATTTGTCTCTTATCACGTGATGCTCAGATAAAACACATAAAAACGATAAAAATCACATTACAGGTCCACAAAAAATAAAAAGTGGGGTGTACTATATTTTCCCATCTATTTTTTTATCTTTAAGTCGGAATTGGGGGTCGCTGGACAAATATGAAAATAATTTAGACATTAAAATCATAAAGTATGGTGTTTTTGCTGGATGTGCATCTCACAGAGATCAGAAATCGGAAGTACCAATATTCCTGTTAAGCGGAAAAAATCGATGGGAAAAATATGGTGGGATCCCCAGCACGCACCACTTTTTCATATTGTGGGCCTGTGTTATTTATAAGGCGCTCGTTTTCCAAAGTATCCTTTGTTATTATTTGAGCTTCAACAGAAAAGACTCGAGAATTTGATATGAAGCGATACACATTGGAGTAATGGATACAATGGTTGTATAGGTATATTTTATTTTTGAAGTTGCAGATTGTTGTTCTTCTACTTCGGCGCGCACGTTGTCGCTACCTCAATTTAGGGGTTGGCAACACTCGGTACCAGGAATAAACCATCCCAATCTTTCAGCAACAGAAGCCACTGTTGAATCTCCAAGAGTTTGAAGACGACACGCTTACGTTGAGAAGAAAACTCAATTCCCATTTGTAGCCACTGGCGGATTTAGAGAGATTTAGACGTCTGAGATTTGCTTTTGCAATCTAACAGCATTGTGTTACTTTCTGTCATGGCTATATCTATTAATATTTTTATCACCTGCTGATATAATAGACTTGCTTGATTGTGTCAGCATTTTCACCATTTACTTAATTTGTTTAATGGGCAGTTCAGAGTTTTAATCCTTAAGCTTATTACATACTAGTAGACCCCGTTGCGCAATTTGTCTATAGGCAGTCTGGAGACGGTAACAAGACACGATCTATAGATGGTCTACAGCCACCCTTCTTTGTCTTGTCTAGCGTCCATACGATAATGTAAATTTTTTGGTCTCATGTTCGTTTTCGCAATCAAAGACATTGTTTTGTGTGGAATGGACTGGGATATGTCTCGGGGTCCCTCAGAATGTTTTATTTATTTTTTGTCGGTTAACAGAGCAATGAGAATGAGATTTTTTATGTTTCAAACTTTAATATTATTATACTTGTTAATTATAAATGCCACGTACTCATTTTGTTCTCATATAATAAAATACTGAATTTCTGAGGATTTCTGAGTAATCTCCGTGTTTTTTTTTTCAAGCTGGCCTTAACCAGATACAACACAATGGATTTAAGGAGCAATAATAGGATACAGCTTCAAACTGCATAAGGAGCCTTTTAAAACAACAGTCCGACAGTGGTTTCTTCCCAACCGCATATTCAACACCTGGAATAGTTTACCTGATAGTGTGGTGGGTGCTACTTCAGTTAATAGCTTCAAAGTGCAGTATGATAGCTGGAGGAGTGTACAAACTTTATAGCTATGAACTGTCTTTTTTTATTTTTTTCTATTTGATGTATTTGTGTTACGTGTCCGTACACTATATTTACTGCATGAGCTTATAGTACTGTGCACTCTGTTCATCTCAATTATCATAATAATAATAATAATAATAATAATAATAATAAGTTCCACTGAGGTTAAAAAGTGACCAGCCCCAAATATCGTTTGCCCCCCCCCCCCTTACCCTAGACGAAATCCTGAATCCGCCCTTGTTTGTAGCACTCAAGATTGAATAATGCCGAAACATTTTAATAAAAACTGGCCACAAACTCGAGGTTTCAACGAAATGAAATCGCCTTCATAATGACCAAAAGTCATGAGTCAAAGAATAACACGACGGGAAGTAAAGGAAGGCGGACGACTAACTTTTAAGTAATGTAATCGTTTATACTCCATTTCCCATTGGTAATGTAGCATATCTTTAAGACAAACTTGTCGTAGAAATAAGGTTGTAAATCATTTGAATCACAGTGCAGCACGACGTTTGTCAATCCGTAAATCTAAACGGATTCATTCTAGGTAGCTTACAATTGGTCTGTCTCCAAAATCTCAGTATGTAGTCATGATGAAAGCGCATACTGCAAGTGGACTTAACATAAGTTATTTTTTTGACAGTTCTCTCAGATTCGTGTTTAAGTATTATTCTTTGAAAGTGCGAGTATTTGCGGTCAATTGAGGTGTTAGATGGTACTTCTCGCATAATTTGCAAAGAATGGCACCAGCCTAATGAAGATGGATCTTGCTACCAGTCAGTAATATCATTATGTTGATACAGCGCTGTCACGTTCGGAGGCAATGGTAGTCAAAAGAGTCAGTATACACTAAGACTACGCAATTCAATGTAAACACATAGGCCTGGCTCCTCCGAATCTATTCAAATTAGTTGGTTTAAGCCCATGGTACTCCGAGTTCCGTTATATGCAACAAGCTATTGTCATCTTGACTGCTTATATTTAAAAGTTGCGTTCATGGATAAATATATGTATATTTCGGTAAACATATCCAAATATTACCCGTAACACCTACAAAAATACAGTCACTTGATTTTCGCCCGCAGCAGTATTTTTTGTTAAACCTTCGCCCCTAAAATTCCGTTAATGTAGAATTGTGAGAATATCTAACTAACACACGATACCTACACAAAATACAGTACGTCATCCCTCGGTAAGTCCTCAAAAACCGATAGTGTGAGCCCGTCCTCGACGTAGACCTGCGAGTGGGCGGGTCCGTCGCTGAGCGTCGCGGCGGGGGCGTCGGTAGGTGCGAGCGGGCGATACGCGGTAGCGGCGACGCGACCTATACACGTCGGCGCAACGTGCAAACGTGGTTCGCGTGTAACTGAACGCCGGAACCCGACGGACGCGGAACGGGCATCCTCCGGCGCGGCGCGGAGCGGAGCAGCGCTGCGGACGACGCCTCCACGGCGCCGATCGTTCATATGAAACGCATCCGCGCCAGGATGCACTTTTGGAAGGTCTGAGTTTTGTATCTTATATTTTGTTTGTACAGTAAACAAAATAAAAAACATTTCAAAATCAAACTTTTGTTTAGCTCTTAATAAAATGAATTAAACATTCAACAATGTTTTTCCGATTGCAAATACTATTATGTACCCATCGAAGAAAAAGACCAAACCTAAACATATTCATGTATACTCCACGTGATCGCGTTCCAGAACGCCGAGCACGTTACAGGACCTTACTAAGAATAAATGCTTTGTGGTTCTACGACACAATCAAAAAGTATGCAAAATTATTGCAGGCATGTATAGGGTCCAAACGTAAAGCTTGTGATTAATTTATTTTTTTAATTTAACTGTCATGACCAAAAAGAAAACAACTGTCTATTGTTGTTTTTAGTAGAAGTGTTTTATCAAGAAATTATACTCGAAATGTGTCGTAAGGCGCATTTATAAAGCAGGCTTTTAAAAAATATCTTGACTCATTGGAACGATAATTGCATATTTATGCATACAAGTATACCTAACCACCGCTTGAACAGGAACGTCAGTATGCAAACAGTTAATTTTAATGTTACACTAAAAAATGAATAGTTAGGTGGAGTTGAAAGAAAAAGGATTTGAATACATAATAATACTAATACTAAATATTATACAAAAATTTATTGCACAGATATTTTACCTCTAAGATCGGAAATACATACATTTGAAAATGAAAATCATTCTAGATCTGAGGCCGTGGAACTGCCACTGTCATCAACATTTATGATTGAAGGGGCAACGTGAATATCAATGAGACCGTCTAATTCCCACATTATAGGTTTTGCATACTTTTTGATCGTGTCGTAGAACCACAAATCATTTATTCTTAGTACGGCCCTGTAACGTTCTGGAGCGCGACCACGTGGAGTGTACGTGAATATGTTTAGGTTTGGTCTCTTCTTTCGATGGATACATAATAGATACAAACTTACAGGTTTTACGAATAACGTCTGTCTTCATATTTATACGTTAAAGTTATTCGTAAAATCTGTGTAAGTTGCACCCTAGCTGTTATAGTGTTCAGGATACTACCCGTGACATCACTCGATTTTAATCTAGTAGCAAAAGCGATTATGATTGTAGAACACCATATTGGACTAGGAATCCAATCAGGATTATCCTTGTCTGTTATATCTGCTGGAACTCCTATGAAATACACGTTTAGTTCCCCCAATTTTATGTCCCAAGACGTTACACGACATCTTTAACAAATTCTTGCATATTTTGTTTATCCTTCTATCAAGCACTAAATCAATGGATCTGGTCGGACTTTGAATAAAAGGTCGAGTTTTTCACCAGTATTGTGGAGATTAGAAGGAATTCCAAACAGTTCTTCACAAATAGCTAAGTAATAGCATGAGATAGCGCGAAGCGCCATCTATCTCACCAGAATCAAACCATTGTGGATCGCCCACCGCTGCTATTAGTCGTAACTGTCATGGATCTCAGTGGTCATGTGTCGTTCGCGAACGAGTCGTTCAAAATGAACGACTCATCTAAGTGAGCGATGATTGAACGACTCTTTTGTTAAATATGAGTATGCAGCAACTGAACTGCGAACTGGCAACGTGGTAACAGTACAGACACTATCTAAGGAACCCAATTATTTTGTTTTGAGGTCTCTCATTAAATTATACGTTGAAATGATGGGATTTGAGAGCAAACATTGCATTTTGATTCAGAATTTGGCAATTCCTCAAAACCGGACCACATATCCCTTCCCTAAGACAGTATACAATCATTATATTCAGTTTCAACCAAAAATATTAATATTCAAATAAATACAATAACATCGCGGCTACCCCAACCCTTCATTTAATTTTCATAGTATGATGTTTATTATCTGACTCAGTGAGTTACAATAGGCAACACAATACTCTCGTCAGCTTCGAGGCCGGTCGGTAATCGTATCGTTCAAATGAAGACTCACTAAAGAGAGATGAACGAAATGAGCGAGCTCAGAGAACAGAGTCGTATGTCTCAAGCTTAGATCTCAGTTCCCGTTTAATAGCCGTGCCGCTAGATGGCTGATGATTTTGGCAGAATGTAGAAGTGGTCTATTTGCCATTGAACAGGTTAAGCAAGATGCTTTCGTCCGTCCGACCAAGAAAAGAAGACAGCCAACCATGGACAGCTGTTTCGTGATTCTTAGCTACTCATCAGCATGGTATAGGCTTGGTCTCTGATTTCTGGACGAACAAACGAAAGCATCACAATGATTCTCTATACCGGAGGTACGGTTTATCAGCATGAGATAGCGCGAAGCGCCATCTATAGCACCAGAATCGTACCATTGTGGATCGCGCACCGCTTCTATTAGGCGGAACTGTCATGGATGTCAGTTCCCGTTTAATAGCCGTGCGTCTAAATGGCTGATGATTATGGCTGAATATAAAGGGCGTATCGATAAGAACGCAATATTTGGATTTAGCGACAATTTGGAATAATGATTGTGGCATAACAGATCGATAGTAGACAGGCGGGAGTTTATGAAAATGAATCATTACACAATAGAACAGCGTATCCTAATTGTTAAGAATTATTACCAAAGTGGTAAAAGTTTAATTGCCACGATTCGAAAAGTACAGCTAATATTCGGTCGGAATAATGTTCCTACCCCATCCACTGGGAAAAGAATAATCCAAAAATCTGAAAGTACTGGTGTTAATGAAGTGAAACATACGAGACGAGTTCGCAGCGGTCGTTCAGAAGAAAATGTCAGAGCAGTTCGCGAAAATGTAGCCTAGAGTCCAGGGACTTCGATTCGTCATCGCGCTCAATAATTGGACATTAAAACAGCCACTCTCCCGCGAAAGATTTACACCTCTGCATGCCTACAAAGTCCATTTGACTCAACAGCTTATGCCAACAGACCATACACGGCGAAAAGAGTTTAGCAATTGGATCCTTGGCCAACAGTATGTGAATGGTGATTTTGTAGACAAAATCATTGTTAGCGATGAGGCCCATTTTCATCTCGATGGCTTCGTCAATAAACAAAACTGCTGCATTTAGGGCACAGAGAATCCAAGAGTAATTCATGAGAAAGCTGTGCATCCAAAACGGGTCACTGTTTGGTGTGCACTATGGTCTGGAGGAATTATTGGACCGTTTTTCTTTGTGCCACAATTAAAAGTCATGGCTCTTAATGACATATGGCTCTAGCAGGATGGTGCCACATGCCATACTGCTTATGAAACATTGGCAGTTTTGCACGAGTTTGCTTCTGGTCGAGTCATCTCCCTGTTTGGTGACCAGAATTGGCCGCCACGCTCTTGCGACTTAACACCTTTATGCCAACAAGCATGCAACCACCGAAGCATTTAAAGCAGAAATCAGACTCTGTATCAACGAGATACCACGACATGTGTTCAAAAATGTTACCACCAATTTTATTAAAAGAGTGCGCATGTGCCAGCGGAGCCGTCGCAGCCATTTTCCTGATGTGTTGTTTCATATATAATTCCAAAATGTATACACCATAATTCAATAAATATTCAATAAATATTTCAGTTGTTTGTTACGAAATACCATGTTTAATAGAACCTTGAAATATTGCGTCCGTATTGAAACTTGCCATTGAAGCTAAGAAGCACGAAACAGCTGTCAATGGTTGGCTGTCTTCTTTTCTTGGTCGGACGAACGAACGCATCTTGTTTAACCTGTTCAACGGCAATCATCAGCCATCTAGCGACGCGGCTACTAAACGGGAACTGAGATCCATGATAGTTCCGACTAATGGTACGTGTACACTGTAGAGAAAATCTACCTAGATTTTAGATTTAGATACGTTCTCTAGGTGAGACTTGTCTATGTTCTGTGTACACTATAACATATTTTAGCCCTCGCTAGACCTTCGTAGATATTTCCTAGATTAAATCTATACCAATTTCTCTATGTGGTGTGTACATAACATGGTAGATTTGATCTCGTAAAAACGTATAGGCATTATTGCACCGTAGTTTGTTGGAAGTAGTTTGAAATGTCGCGAATTAAGTAAATTGCAGCTGGCTCTGTTATTTTAATAACGAAGAAGAGAAAAAATGTTGAGCTAAAAAACAAGAAGAGAAGGATGTGGGTTAGGAGCTGGATTTCAAGAAGACAGGATAGTGTTTTTTTTGCTCAATTGGTGAAAGAATTACACAGCGAAGACATGAATTCATACGCTAACTTTTTACGTATGAGTAATAAGGACTATGAATACTTGCTTCAAAAAGTTGAACCATTGATTAGAAAACAAGATACTCATCTTAGGCTAGCTATTTCACCTTCAGAACGGCTCATGCTTACTTTACGGTTTTTAGCAACAGGTGAGTATTGAAAGACATGAGTTTGTTTTCTAGGATGTATTTAACTTAAAAAGCAAACAAAAACAACTTCTAATTAAATCATTTTTAATTGTAGGAGATAGCTATCATTCCCTGCAATACCTTTTTCGGATTCCAGTCACGACCATTTCAAGGATTATACCTGAAGTTTGTGAAGCGATATTTACTGTGCTGAAAACGGATTATCTCCAGGTAAGTAATTTTCGTAAAACTGCGTGATTGGAGGAAGGTTTGTAGTTGTATTTGTTATCGGTGCCTCTTCAAAACTTTCAACCGTATTTGAAGTTGATGGGTATGTACTCGAATGTGAATAAGTAGGCGACATTAAAGGTGTAAGTGTTCTTGATCAAGAAAACTCCACTTCATCTTCCTCGCTCATTGCAACTATAGCTTTCTGGATTATTCGTTTTAATCTTCTTTTTCGTTCATCAGAACGCAGCTGCTGTAATTCACTAGCAACATATTCACCAAATACGGTATGCTCGTCAGTTGGTGTATTTAGTA